TTTATTTCATTTACGAAGATGGCAACATTTAAGCAGGTGAATATTCTTTACGATTATATATAGGCTTATTTTAATTTTAGTTATAACACTTAAGTAAGTTGTACTTATACAGTGTGTGCTATTAAAGTTGGATCCATAAGGATTTTTTTTAATATTACGATTGGAAAAAACGTAGAATTTTACATTTTCAATAGCATTTTTTTAACACTAAGGTATGTGCAGTGAATATGCCCATATTAAGCAGAATCCTTGATAAAAATTAGAAACGACAAACCTTTCAATTCGATTTTTTATAGAAATCGTACCTTTAAACTCAAAGAAGTAATGTTTGGACAGAAATCGATGATTTTTTCTTTGAGATTTTTTTTATATCGTTTTTAAAAACGCGTCATACTGGGCGTATTACTAACCCTGTCGTTAATATGCCCATAGGGTGATCCTAATATGCCCATGTCATGTTCCTAATATACCCATTATTTTATTTTAACAAAAGCATACAACCTTCGTCGGTTAAGTATATTTTTTCGGAAAAACAATGCATAAGGATAACAAACTAATAAACAAACCCAAAATTAAAATATTTCTGAAAAACTAAACATTACTTTACACTGGTAAGTAGACAGTAAAATTTCTGACAACCTTAGCCACAGTCTGAACAAACAAAAACTTATCACCTTTGATGAGCCCGACGCAGTCTTCGTGAAAGTAAACTAAACACATCAAGCACAATCGCATATCTTTTTTTATGTCTTCTTGACAAGCTTTGCAGTACCACGATTCTTTGGGTTTTATTTTTTCTCCCTTATCTTCGTCTTTTAAAACGATTTTTTTTCTTTGGTAAGTTTTTTTGTGATTTTGGTGGGAAAAACTGCCTTTTTCACAATAAGCGCTTTGCTGTTAATAGCTTTTTTCTTTCTAGTTGTTTTTGGGACATCTTTATATGGTGTCTCCAACATTTCAGTAAAACTCACGTTTAAAACCTTTTCTTCTGCATCGTTTCTTGTCTTTGTGTTATTTTCTTCCTCTTTAGGCGGGTCCTTTGATTTTTGGTCCTCATCTTCTCTCTGGATGTTTTTGATTGACTTCTGGTTTTCTGCGTCCATTTTTAAATTCTTTAACGGCCTTTGTTCTCTGATGTTCGGCCTTTTAGCCTCTTCGTCATCCAATGTTGCCGATTCGTCATCAAGTTTTGCCTCGTCTTCCGAAGAGAACGTTTCTGTTAAGGTCTCGCTGTATAAAGACATATTATCATCTGTTGATGAGGAGCTACTTGATGACGACCGTTTTCTCTTACTCTGGCGTTTGTGTCCAAAATATTCAGGATAATTGGAGATCTTTGACGGAGGAGTTTTTTCTATGGTGCTTCGGTCATTCCTTTGTTGACATCCAGAGGGTCCAGGTTGGGGTGTGGTTTCCCTTCTAAGCTCTCGTCTTTCTTCTAGTCTGTTAATTTCTTCCATGTTATTATCTCGTTTCGTTAAAATGCTAGGAGCAAAAGCTACTTCGGGAATAGCATCTGGATTGTACGGATAGATACCCGTAGCAGAGAAACCTGATGTTATATTTTGGGTTGTTACTGACTTGTCCCAAACGATAGAGAAGAGCTCCCCAAACCTTTGTTTGGTTATAGCTCGGTCTTTGTGGCGAGTCCAGTATAAAAGTACCTGTTCATCCCAATGATGTTCGAAAGATTTAAATACAGCCTTGTCCATTGGCTGCAGTTTATGTGTCGTATTACTTGGGAGACATAAAAGGGTGATGCCATAAGAGTCTGCAGTTTCAACAATAGAAGGATCTAAATGGCAAGATGCGCTATCAAAGATTAAAAGGCAGTTGCCTGGAAGTTTATATTTGCCAAAGTGCTTTAGCCATTCGTTAAATGATTCAATTGTCATGCTTGCTTTCTTCGTCATGAGGACTAGAGTTCCGGGTGGCAAGTTGTCACTCCATTCGCTTTTCATCCTTATGCCTTTGAATAAAATGGCTGGGGGAATTCTTCCTCCACTGGCGTTATCGCAAGCAACGACAGTAACATTTTCCGCGTGTTCTGGTGCCACTAGGTGAACCCTTTTTGTGCCCTTTTTAGCTAGAATAGTCTGCTGATGATGTAATGTTAACCTGCACCCCTTTTCATCCATATTATAAATTCTTTCAGGTTTATCCATTAAGTCCAGTTCGGGAAGCACTGTTTTAAGCTTGTCAAAGTAATCGGAAACAATATATTTGTTGAGCTTTTGTGCTCTCGCCGGGTTCATGTTCTGGGCCCGTCTAGCAGAAATCTCTGGGTGTCTATTTAAAAATGCTTTTAACCAGTGACGGCCAGCTAGACGCTTTTCTTGTGAGAACATGTTAGGTAAACCGTTTTGCTCACAATAATGATACACAGATCTTCGAAGCATTCGTTTTGTAAGTGGGTAACCCACCTGCGCCAGCCTGATAATTCGGGCCGCTAATTCTGTTTCTTGGTCTTTATTCAGAACACTTTTTCTACCAAGTGGCTGTTTTACGTTAGCCTTTTTGTCAGTATAACGCTTAAGAGTCCTTCGCGGTATTTTATATTGCTTAGATGCTGAGTTTTTCGACTCTCCGTTTTCTACCGCTCTAAGGGCGCGTTTAAGGTCTTCCTCCGTCCACTGAGACCGAATTCCTTTTGTTTTATAAGGTGACATCCGTAAAACAAAAATTTAAACTAATAATAAACGTTCCACTACGAACCGAAGGTAATATGCCCATATGGGCATATTTGCTTCCGATGACGATGGGCGTATTAGCAACAGAGAAAGGTTATGTATTTTTTTAGGTTTTGAAGGTTAATTTCAAAGTATTTTTATTAAAATTATATACTAAGAAAATGGTAAATAGACGTACTTTAAAATGCTTTACTTACAATTTTTGTAAACAAACACACACAAAGTTTACACTCTTTTTAAACACGTGTTATTGTTATACTCGACAGCGCTCAAAACAGGTGATTCATTTTCAGCCACTGGGCAAAGACTAGCAGACACAGACCATACCCTTTAAAGATGGGCCACTCAACAGTGAAAAATTTTACTCATCTTTCAGCGCCATCCGTAGCGGTTGCAAATAGTTGAGTTAAAAAAAAAGAAGATAACTAATAATTGAAAATTTGTTCAAGATTTATTATATAGATGGCGGCAGGGGTCAATGAGCGCGGCTTTTTCAAACTCGGCCTTTCTAATAAACCACTACTAAGTTTTCAAAATTATAATTTTTCGTTCTTTTTTACTTAAAATGATTCAAACATTTTATTCTTCACTCAACATACTTAGATGGATATAATCCATTGGGTTATGTTCTGTGATAGATAAAATTTGAAATATTTTAAGTTAAAAAGAAAACGAAAAATTATAATTTTGGATTTATAGAACAAAAAATACATCTTATTATGAAGTAAAACACGATTATAACCATATATTTTTTATTATTAGAATTAAAATTGCACGAATTCTTATTACAGTACACAATAATAAAGAAATATGAATATAAAACTATTATGAAGTTCACCCATAGTTGTATCCACTAGAAGTTGTAACGAAAGTTCCTGGGGAAAGTTGGCTCTGGCTGCTGTTGGGTGTACTTGTCACTTCCTATTGCAGTGTTTGCTGATTCGTTTTCATGTAAAAAATGAAGAAGAGTATCAGTTAAAAAATATAAAGTTCAATTTTATTATTTTTGTTTTGAGTCAATTCAGCTGAGCTATTAATTTATTAGCTAGTGAGAATGAATCGGCATTTCTTAAAAATATATCGCAGAAGATTTTTCAATAAAATGAAGGAATTTGAATTTAGTAAGAATGCAACTTTTATTAATTGGAATCAATAAATTGTGAAGATACCTAGGTGAGGTAAGGTCACAGTATATGGAGCAAAAAATAATAAGAGTCGCACAATATAAAATATACAATTATTGGTATGTTTGAAAAGTACCTCATTTTGAATTCGGAAAAAAAATTGTATATAGGTATCTACTATAAAGTATCCATTACATATTGTATAATTCTAAAAAAATACTAATAACACTATTTATTTCAATCTTCTTAATATTCACATATTTTATCTAGTTACTGAAATTGTATAGAAAATGATAAAAGTTAGGTTAAGATTTTTAATTTTTCCTAGAAAACATTAGGTTACCCGCATTATTTTGGAAATTTATTTCACAAATTGGGTACTTTTAAGTAATAATATATGTTCTTAAAATTTGGCAAAGTATTTAAGAATAAAATACAAAAAGAAGTTTTTACTTGTAAAGAAATAAAATTGTAAATGTATTCCTTACCTGCGACTAACTTTATCCTGACAATCTGGATCAGCACAAGGACGAATTCGCACCATAATTATATATGTTTAAAGCTTTAAAAATTATCTTCGAAAAACTAACCTAATAAAACAAATCAACCATTACCATTATTGCCATTAATAGCGTTTTTTTAGCTGTTGAAAGTTTTAAATAACAACTTGCGTACACTTGCGTTACTCTGAACCTGCTCGGAATACACTCTGAATCTGCTCGACGAATGCAACGAGCAAACTTTGTGTAAGTAGCGCCATCTATGGGTGGTGCACAGTACTACAACACGAGTAAGCATTTCCCTATTAAAGATCCCCTAGCCTGCTAGCAGAGACTGATTTGTGCAAAATCTTAACGCGTTGGTCGCCCTCTATTAGCATATAAGCTAAACTTTTTAAAATGGCAGCGGGTGTGCATATTACCTGCATGGGCATATTCACCGCACCTACCTTATTACTTTTGGCATGCTACTAACATATTTTTATTGAAATATTTTGTAATTATTCTGTTTACTTTATATTTTAAAAATATAATTGTAAAACGGACGTACGCCAGTTGCGATGTGCAGTAACTTGTTGACAAAATGCGCATATGCTATAAACCACCCTGACGCTCCCCTTCTGGAGTTTGAAAAACCCTATGATGTAGATCATGTAAATAAAATCTTCAACACGAAAATAAAAAGCTGGTAACTATTTGGTTTAATTATTTATTTTAATCTATTCTAATTGGTACGCTAATAATATTGTTTCGGTTTAATTAGACTGTTTCACAAAGAGGGTAGAGTAATTCTGAGCAAGCAACATCATTCCAATGACCAGAAGAATAAAAGTTAGGATGCAGGGCTAAACAATACTCGTTGCCACCAGCGTTGTTTGGTTCTCCAGTACCCCAGTCGAAGAATGTAATAATTTCCATGCTGGTTAACCATACCCAGTCGTCTGATTTTGCTAATTTTGTTCCTGATGTCCATAATGCAGATTTGTCTTTAAAATCTATAAAGCAATAATATTACTATTAGTGATTAAATTTTTGTTTGTGATTTACTATTTAAGGCTTGGCTCAAGGGCGTAGATAAGGGGGGGTAATGGGGGTAATTACTCTCCCCAAGCCATAGTCAACATCAATATTTTTTTAAACGTTATATTAAACAAAAATAGAGAGATACCATAAATACACTAAAACAAAGAGTTTCTCAAATATTGTCATCTAAAATAATAATATTGATGCAAATCGAAAATTACAATTTATATACAGGGTGCCATAAGTGCATAATTGTTCAATATTTAAATTTGTGTTATTGACAAGCAAAAAAGTTTTAATTAAAGTTATATGGATTTGAAAAATACATATTTTAAAAATATTTCGCCGTTCCGGTAAAACAATGACGCAAGTGCAAAATTGTGACATTTTGATTGCATAGAATATTAACTGCATTCCACAAGTGTTTAGTAGTATTTTTATTTTTTTCTATTAATTTTTTAAAGTAGTCAGATTTTGTCTTTTTTACCAATTTTGCTAAGTGTTTTTTGTAATTTTTATATTGTTGTTCTAATTCAGGGTTTTGAGGATATTTTAAATGTAAAGTATATAGTTTATTTTTGTTTTTAATAGATTTTGATAGACCTAAGTCATCCATTCCTTCCTCTTCTTTATAATATTTTTATATTTCACAGTTTTTGAATGTTTGCTTACATAATATTTAAGTTTATTAATAAATTTGACAGTAATATCATTAGCATCTCTATTATTTAATATATCATACCAATTCTCATTTTTCAAGTCATAATTTAAACTCCCAAAATCAGTTAAAAGAAAGTAATTTTTATCTAATTCAGTGGTCGCCAAACTGTCGATCGCGAGCTACCGGTAGCTCGCGGAGGCAATTCTCGTAGCTCTCACAACGATTTTAATTTAAAAAATACAAACTGCAAAAATCAGAGAAGCTTTCGAAAATTCCACAAAAAATCTAATTGTCATAATATTAAACATAAACAGCGGCAACGTTGCGGTGAGCGATCTGCCGCTGACGCCATCAAGCTAGAATCGGCTAGAACCGACCAGCCGGACCAGCGCGTTAGTGTTCGAGAACGATCAGGATTGCTTTGAACGGGATAAATACGCACGGCGCGGCGACATTGCGCTTAGTTTAAAACTGAACGCGTAACCAACGTCCAGCGGTTGGGTTAGTAGAGAACAACAAAAAATAATATTATGACAAGCATTTGTAAGAAGGTAAAGACATACTCATTCGGAATGGGAAGAACAATACTTTTTTACAGAAGTTAAAGATAAAAATGTGTGTTTGTTATGTAATACTTCGGTCTCCGTTGCTAAAAAAGGAAATATTGAGAGATATCATAAAACTGTACATTCTAATTTTAAAAAATCATTCCCACTACATTCTGCCGCCAGAAAGAAGAAACTGAAACAATTAAAAAAGCAGTTAATTGGACAACAATCAATATTTTTAAGAACAGTCAACAAAAATAAGGCTGCATTTGAAGCATCGTACCGTGTGTCCCAGATAATTGCACAAAAAAAGAAACCTTACGAAGACGGGGAAATGATAAAACAGGCGTTTTTAGAAGCTGCTGATTCGTTATTTGCCAACTTTAGAAATAAAGACGAGATAGTTTCAGCTATAAAATCTATGCAACTTTCTGCTAATACAGTTAAGAACTGACTTAGATAACTGTGTTTATTTTTCACTTCAACTGGATAATTCAACAGATGTCGTTGACACTGTCCGGATGGCCGTGTTCGTCAGGATGGTTTTTAGTGATTTTACGATTAAAGAAGATCTTTTGAAGTTTATTCTACTGAAAGGACACACTACTGGACAGGAGTTGTTTTCTCATTTAAAAAATATTATTTCTTCCGAGAAAATTCCAATATCGAAAATGGTAGGCTTGACAACCGATGGCGCTCCAGCTATGGTGGGCTGTGATAAGGGTCTGGTGGCGTTATGTCGTAAAGTTGAAACTTTTCCGCAATTTCTCTGTTACCACTGCATTATCCATCAGCAAGAATTATGTAGAAATTTCCTGAAACTAAACAACGTTATGAAACTGGTGGTAAAAATTGTGAACAAGATTAGTGCTCAAGCGTTACAAAGAAGATTATTCAAAACCTTGGCCGATGAAGTTGACTGTCAATACGGGGACCTACTCCTTCACTCTGAAGTCCGATGGTTAAGTAGAGGACGGGTGCTGAAACGTTTTAATGATGTCCTATCTGGCATAGTTCAATTTTTCAAACATCGCGATGAACCGACTCCGGAACTAGAAAATTCAATCTGGCTTAGAGATTTTGGTTATCTCGTGGACATTACAGAGAAATTAAACGAACCTAATTTGCAGCTTCAGGGGAGAGACAAAGAACTAGTGAAAATGATTTCTGATATAAAAGCATTTATCAAAAAGCTTTTATCTTTTATCAAAAGAACAAAACCTAATTAACAGCGATGCCAAGCATTTTCTTATTCTTTCACAAAAAATATGTCAAAATCCATTAGAACCCTATGACAGCAAATATCATGTAGAAATAGTTTCTACCCTGAAGAATAACTTCAAAAATCGTTTTCAGGATTTCAACGAAATGGCTTTAGTAGCGCAGTTTGTTGTTTCACCCTTTATGGAAATTGATATCCAACAGTTTGCAACTTGTGTTATGCAGAACTTTGGCGAAGACATCGCTGCAACAGAAATGGAAGTAATTGAGTTTCAAAATGATTTAGCCTTAAAATCGTTAGTCTCAAGTACCAAATGTATCTGGCCTATTGTAAGTAAAGGCAAATATTCAGTTCTATGCCGTGTTGCCTTGAAAGTGAAAGTATTATTCAGTTCAACCTATTTGTGTGAATCTTCTTTTTCCAATATGAAGTTTCTTAAGAACAAATATCGCAATTGACTTACAGATGAACATTTGGATAATTGTATTCGAATGGTTGTATCAAATTATACTGCAAACATTAAAAAAAATTATTTATGAGTCTGAGTGTCAGCCTTCTCATTGAACGTGCTTTTTTATTTTTCAGTGTTTATGTTCATGATAGTGCGTTACTTTTTTGTTGTTATTATTAACTATTTTTAAATCTTACGTGACATGCCGTTGTGGCTGGATAAAAGTTTGTGTTTATTTTTCAAACACCTTCGTTTGGTAGGTAGGAATGTAGCTATGAACAAGTACGTACTAGTAATATTAGTTATTTTGTTATTAGTTTATTATTAGCACCTATGTATTATGTATTACCAGTTAAATAGTAAAATAAATACATATAATGATAAATTAACTGTGGATTATTTCATTTACGTTGCGTTACGTGGCTTCCGTGTGGGTAGCTTGCTGTTTATTCCAAAATTAACAAAGTAGCTCAACACATAGAGAGGTTGGCGACCACTGATCTAATTCATTTATTTCAGTTCCCAGTTTTGCCATAATTATGATTGGTGAGTGATCGGTTATTTTTTGTCTGAATACTATTGGTACTAGTTTTTCACTTTTACCTCTAAAGAAACAGTGATCGGTACATGTTTTGGAGGCTGGACGGGTATATTTATTTATTTAAGATATTCAAATATTCTTCTATTTGTGTACTGGATGATAATGATATTATATTTAAATTAACATCATCAATAAATATACCTACGTCATGATCTTCCAAGTTTCTAAAATAATCAAGTAATCCGAGATTAAAATTATTTGAATTTCATGATCGGTAAAGTGATGTTAATACTTATGTTTTTATTGAAATATATATTTAAACCATTATTAATTTTTAAACAGTAGTGCATTAAAGAATAAAAAAATCAACAATCCTAATAGTAAATTTGAATAATATAAAAATAAGCGGTAGGCAGTAAAATGTAAAAAGAATATACTATCGAATATTAGTAATAATAACAATAATGTTTATTTACAAAAAATACGATCAATAATTATATATATAAAAATCCTTTACTACTTCACCTTAGAATATAAATAAAATCAATTTAAATGTAGTAAATCATTTATTTAAAAAATAATTCCACTAGATTAAAACAGAAAACTTTCGAATCGGTCGTCAAAGTAATAAATAAAAATATTCTTTGCAAAGAAATTACTATCAACACAATAGTTACAATATACCGACAAGTTTAGCCAGCCCGCGTTTCAGGTGAAGATGAATTCCGAGAAAGATAGGTGTCGATAAATAGTTTTAAAAATTGTGATACAGTGAACAAAGTATTAGTGATCGCATACACTTGCAATTATAAACTGTAAGTACAGTTTTTCTTTTCCTAATTGAATTATAATTCAAGTTTAAACGACAAAACTACATCCAACACCAATTGCAGAAATCTTATCAGTTAGCAAAAACTATCGTTTAACCTGTTTATCTCCACGGCATGGTCGGAGATAGACAGGGACGTACTCGAATTATTTTAAACTGACTTAGTTTTCTGCACACTACACCTGGAACTTCTGACTACAGAAGCACCACAATGAATCATCCTACCAACCAAAGCTACTCTACAGTTCTAACACAACAAAAATATTCTTCAAAAATCAAGCTATTATATTTACACCTATCGATGGAGCAAAACTTCAAGATTACCTGTTACCACTGGGAGAAATTGTTCATCCGAAAAATATAATTTTCTGCTCTAAACTCTCAAATAATAGAATGTGTATGTACCTGTCATCTCAGGAGATAGTTGAAAAATATATGAATAACTACAGTGGTATTATAGAGATTAATAATGAAATCTTACAAGCTCGTCGCTATGTTACCCCATCTGAAAGAATTATTCTATCCAATGTATGTCCATCAATTCCTCATGATATTTTAATTAAGGAACTCGAGCATATAGGAGTTACAATACTTTCTCCATTAACTTTCTTAAAAATTAGCGCATCATTGCCTGAATTTAACCACATTTTAAGTTTCCGCCGACAAGTTTTTATTAAACCCACAGCATTGCCAATTCCAGAGTCATTCCTAATTAATTATGAAAATACTTCATATCGAATTTTTCTAGCCCGAGATATTTTAAAGTGTTTTTATTGTAAACAAGAAGGCCACACATCTACTAATTGTAAAACAGCACCTACAAGCACCAACCCCACAGAAATTCCATCTATACCAAATCAGTCGCAGAACTCTATAATTGTCATACCCGAAACCATAACACCTTCATCTGCAGTTACTGCATCTACTTCCGTTGTTATTGTTGTGCCTAATCCATTAAAAAACATGTTGTTAAAATCCAATGCTGCTTCAATAGAAAATGCAAATAACCCTCAACAGCAACAACCTAAGCAGGCTATAGAATCCAACGCATCAGCTATGGAAATCGATCAGTACAAAAAGAAATATCGATGACACCCTTTCTCCACCCATCTTAGATGAAACATCGCCAAATTTCACAAAACCTTTAGACCCAACCCCGAAAAAGAAGAAGAGTAAATCTGCAAACCTACCCGAAAAGACATTGGAAGACTTTATAAAAGAAAAGAATCCACCATTCTTACTCGATTACAACCAACTAACAGACCTATTTGAAAACGTAAAGGGCTCGTCAGATCCACTTAGTGTTACCCAAAACTACACTCAAAATTATGCAATTTAGAGAACTGGTCCCAGAAAACTGGTTTCCAGTTTTCTACCGAAAAAACCCAGTACATACTTTTTTCAAGAAGAAATAATCCAGACTCGCCATCGATAAATTTACACCAAAAATGCCTCCCAAAAAAAGACTCTGTACGTTTTCTAGGAATGATCTTTGACCGAAGATTAAATTGGAAAGAACACATTAGACAATTGGTTATTGACTGCCATTCAAGGCTTAATATTCTAAAATCACTAGCTAATCGAGAATGGGGGTCAGATAGACAGAGTATGCTTTCACTTTATAGAACAATAATTAGATCAAAGCTAGACTATGGTGCTGCAGCCTATTCCTCTACCAATAAATCTCTTCTTAAATCCCTAGATGTAATCCACAACACCGCACTTCGCCTTATATTGGGAGCCTTTAGATCAACTCCAGTAGAAAGCCTGTATTGTGAAGCTGGTGAACCATCTCTTATTGATAGACGAATTTACTTGAGATTGACATATGCAATAAAATGCAATGCAGATCCTTACAATGACACCTATAGCGACACTCAAAATGGTAGACTGTTAAGGTTATTTAATAACAAACCACGCATGGCAAAACCTTTTTACCATAGAGTAACCATGGATCTTAACTTGCTTAATATATCCTTTCCTCGATGTTTTCCTCTCACTTTTGAATCTTCACCACCTTGGACCTTGAAAAACCCAAAAATTATTACTTCTTTGCCCTCCTTTGATAAACATACAACAAACAGACAAATAATAATCCAAAACCTGCAAAGACTTAAAGAAAAATATACAGGCTATACAGAAATGTATACAGATGCATCTAAATCTAATGATGGAGTAGGAGCGGCAATTGTGGGATCCAACTTAACTGAAAAATTTTCTCTTCCATTTTCGTGCAGTATTCATACAGCAGAATTATATGCTATATACCGTGCCCTATTACTGGTAAATTCTTCCAACCTCGAGGACACCATCATACTAACTGATTCCCTTAGCTCTCTATACACAATACAGCAGATATATCCACACAACTCTCTGGCAATTAGAATTAAACAAGAATTACACAAAGCTCAAGATAAGAACAAGCATATAGTTTTTATTTGGATTCCATCACATATAGGAATATATGGAAATGAAGAAGCCGACAGAAATGCTCGTGAAGCAGTAAATTCAACAGATTCAATAGATATCCGAGAATTGCTGTTCCAAGACATTAAAAACTTTATAAAAGTAAATGTGTATAGTGCTTGGCAAACCCGATGGCAAACCTCAACGGACAAATTGCGTGTAGTGAAACCGTTTGTGAAACCGTGGCTAAAGTTACCTCCTGATCGAAAAACCGAAGTTACTATAACGCGTCTAAGACTCGGTCATACGCGACTAACACATGGTCATCTGATCAGTAAGTTTCCAGAACCAATTTGTGAATATTGTAATGTGAATCTAACGGTAAAACACTTTATGACTGAATGTCCCCAATTTATTCAAGAAAGAAACAACCACAATATTCCTAAGACTCTCGATCAAGCTCTTGGTTTGAATTGTTCGTTCAAAAACATTATTTCTTACTTAAAAACAACTTACATTGTAAATATATAATATGCTGTATACACTGTCTCTCGCTAATAACCTTTTAGGTTGATGCGATTTGTTTAATAAAAAAAAAAAAATAGGTGTCCCTTTAGACTGAACGAAGAAAGATAGAATTATTATATGTACAAATTGTCTTTACATAAACAAAGAGGGTTGCGTACAGAGATATTCTATGAAACTTCGACCGAACGGAAAGCGGTAGAACAGCCTTAATTTGTTTTTTAAAAGATACATACTTCAAATTCAAATATATTTTTACATACGTTCTAAAATATCTAGCTAAATAGGTAGGTACTTACCACCCATTTCATTCAACTCGTTGTACATTTTTGTATTTTCAGTAGCGTTTGCTATAGCTACCAACTGCATATTATGGCCCTTGCAGAAATTATTTGCATCGTCGAAATTCATCTATAAATACAAAAATAACGTATCACAAGCTAAAAATAAACGTTTTGGCCGTATACATTTCTTGGTTTACTTTTATGACACAATGTAGGGTAAAATTATATTTTTTGGACGATGATGAATTTAAAACCCTAAGATTAGAGGTTAAAGTTGTGAAGTTTATATTTTTATCTATGTAATTTAGTGGATTTTGACAAACTACATCATCTTGTATATTATTCAAAATTTCTTGCAAAAGATGTAAAGGGATTTTTGAGATTTGTTTACGAATTTTCAAATTATTCTAAAAATTGAAAAAGCTTTATCCATGTGTCTTAGTTATTTATTATCAGTATAATTTCATTTTTTGCTGAATTATTCAAAAGAAACACCCTAATAATCTCTAGTCTTTTAATTTTTTTGTAACATCCTAGTTTTTTAAATAAAAAAATACGTGTGGCACTCGGGGACTGCCGCGGTAAAGCTATTGCATAGCATTTTTTATCAACTTATGCAATTATAATTATTTATTTATTTTATTTATGCAATATTTTTTTTTCTTTGATATTAATTCAAGTTTTTTCTTTGATATCCTCTAAATATCTGGAAAATACCGCGTCTATGGTGGTCCCATATTTTGTTGTCGATTCTTGTGGATCATTATTCATTTTCAAATTCAATTTTCAATCAGTTATGAGCAGTTAGCAGCTAGTCTACATGCATACGTCTAGTCGCATGCACACAAACACCGTGCCAAAGTATGCCGAACTGAAACGACGTTAGACGATGCACGGATTTCAACGCCGCACGAATTTCAACGCCGCACCGCTGTGCCGGTCGAAGTGGTGGGTGTTAGGTTTATTTTCGTTACGGAATTTCTTTTTCGATTTTTCGATTTTATTTTATTGATTAATGAAAAGTTAATATTGTTTAACGCCGCACCGCTGTGCCGGTCGGAGTGGGGGGGTTTTAGGTTTTTTTTTTGTTACGGAATTTCTTGAGCTTGAGCTATGCACTAGCTTAAAAATTAATATTTTTTCCTACGACCACTTAGGAAAGTGACACATATCACATTATATAGTCATATGGAAAGTGCCCTATACCACACGCGTATGAATAAGAATTTACTTTCCACCCGTGTACGAATATGCTACTTTCCGCAGTAGCTGTCACAAAATGTCAAACAAATAATTTCTATTTTGATCTATGTAATGTCCATATTAATACTAAAATCGATTGTTAAATGATTGAAATTGTTGTAAATTAGATTCTAGATATTTATCTTTAACAATTATTATTAAAATAATTTTAAAATAACTAAGATATTATGTTTGCTCTTTATTCTGGTTAAATACATAACTGATTAGATCATTCAATTGTCGTAAGGGCTATTAGCTCAGTTGGTTAGAACGTCAAACTTATCAACTTTGTCAATTGGGACCTGGCGAGCGACCGCGTTCAAATCCCGGCGGGGCCAGAATTTTTAAGCTATTGCATAGCTTTTATAGCGGGCTTTGAGCGGCGACCGAATCAAGAAATTTCGTAACACCGTAACGAAAATAAACCTAACACCCCCCACTCCGACCGGCACAGCAGTTTGACTTTTAAGCCATGGAATGTTATATTCGACCCTATTCGTATTAGTATGAAACGAAGTTAAATATACGTCTGCGGACTGGAACATTTGTGCAATATAAGAACTAGAAGAGCTTCTAATAAATTGGTATAACAAATGTTCCCGACAATTGAAAGTTTAGGTAATTCTAAAAATACTAGTAATTTAGGCAAACACTTTTGATAGGGGTTTAATTGCCGGCCAACATAAAAATAAGTCTTATTTACTATAGAGTATAATAAAAAATGCATTTATTTAGATGACTTATGTTTAAACTTTTAATCTCTCAAGATTAAAAATTAATACAATTAAGTAATAATGATACTTTTATAGTTTTTAAATAATATATTTATGTGATTCCATTAAATTACAATATAGGTATCATTTGACATGATAAAATTTTTCGTAAATATTTGTAATAAATTGTTATATATTATTATAAGCAATTCCAAGCATCTATCAATATGTCCTCGGTGACGCAGAGCGTTCAGTGGTCGTAGTGTGGATAACAAGTTGGTGGTTCGAGCCCCGAAAATTTTAGTTTTTTTTTGTTTTTTTTTTTCTTAAAAAAAAGGAAAAATATTCTTTTAATATTTCACAGTCTTGGTAATTTAAAATGTTTAGTTTTTAAAAATTATATACTTATTCAATGCATAGTGGCGCATAACGAGGTTCTTTCAAGTTCAGCTAATTTTAAAAATGCAAGCTACCAGTGGAGACTTCGTTTATTTAAATTCAAAAAAATAGCAATAGTATATTACATTACAAGTGTGAAAAATCACTGAATAAGTATAAACTTTTTAAAAACTAAACATTTTAAATTACCAAGACTGTGAAATAATAAAACAATAATATTTTTCCTTTTTTTAAGAAAAAAAAAAACAAAAAAAAACTAAAAGTTTCGGGGCTCGAACTTGCTCGAACTTGCTATCTACACTATCCAAATCCAAATAGGTGTATAGGTATCTGTCATCTATGTACAACAGTGAATAGCTGTACGCGTAAAATTTGTGTATAAAGTGTTTTAAACATGAATAAACATAGTGCATTTATTAATGAAGAAAGTGATGAAAAAATAGTGAAAGAAAATGAGTGAGTACTCTAGGGGAGAGTGCCCTACAGTGAGACAGGTCCCACAGTGAGACATTTACTATATCTCTCTGAAAAACTGTAATTGTTGGCAACGCTGTACAACAAACGAACCACCTCAATGCATTTACCCATCTCTTCAGTCGAATGGTAACCTTGAAGGCGATAGTTACGTTCAATATCAGTGAGTGAATAACTGGTGAAAAAATCGAGTATAATAATATAATCTTTCGTCTCTGTTTATATGCTGGTAAGTACCATGGGTAACATCGTTAATTTTATTATGTCAAAATAACTTTGTAATAAACATTTTTACGTATAAATGTTCGAGTTAATGTTTAAGGTTATAGAAATACATTATGTTTTTATTAGGATATTACATTTTTCAACAGTAGGACAAAGTTGAGTGCCCTACAGTGAGACATGTCTCACTGTAGGACGCAAGTCAAATTCAGGATAAATAAATATCGTGCTTATTAAAATCTGGATTTGAAGATTTAATTTTTGTTTCAGAGCAAAGAATATGGACAAAGCAAAAAGAAAATTAAATAAACATAACGCACATGTAATGAGGGAAGCAGTAGCTATGGTAATAGCAGGACAGCCACTAAGAGAAGTTGGTCATATAAAAGGTATACCACATCAGACTTTACATCGCTATGTTAAAAAACAAAAAGAAGCTCCCGAGCCCATTTCTATGGTACCAAAATATGATGTAAGAAGAATATTTACAAAGCAGCAAGAGGATGTATTGGCAAACTACATGATCACCTGCGCAAAAATGTTCTACGGCCTACCTCTAATTGAATGTAGACAACTAGCCTACGAAATGGCAAGTGTGAATGAAATTGATATGCCAGATACCTGGAAAATTCGAAGGCTTGCAGGGAAGAAATGGATGCGGGGTTTTATAAAGAGAAATCCTCGGCTATCATTAAGGACACCTGAAGGGTGCAGTTTAGCAAGAGCTGCAGCATTCAATGAAACCATTGTAAATTTGTTTTTTGATAAATTACATACATGTTATATGAGAAGTGAACACTTCAGTAACGGAACAAGGGTTTTTAACCTAGATGAAACTGCTACCATCACACAACAAGAACACTATATAAAAATCCTAGCAGAAAGAGGCTCCAAAGAAGTCAGCAAGATAACTTCTGGAGAAAAAGGAACCCTTGTAACAACGTGCATGATTGTAAGTGCAGCTGAAAATTGGTTACCACCTGCAATGGTATTTCCCAGAGTCAACTTTCACAGTCGTATGATCAATGGTGCACCACGAGGCACATTAGGTTTGGCAGCTAAGACGGGTTGGATGAACACCGATTTATTTATCTTCCTAGGGAGTAAAAGTACTTTTCCTCCCTAGGGAGGAAAAGTACGACTTTGCTCCCTGCAATGAGGCCAGAAAATGTATACTTTGGATAGAGGTAGGCGGAAAAATATGTCCCACCCAAAGAACCATTGTCTCATTGTTGGGCAAGAGTGCCCAACAGTGAGACAATTTTTTAATAAAATAAAAAATTATTATTACTTATTTCCCATTCGATTTAATAAAAAATATTGCCAGAATTATTTGTCTATGCAAGAGTTACTTAATTGGTATTTTTTATTTTTTTTTTGTACTCGAAAACTTTAAAAGTTATTGACGAAATAAAAAAAATGTCCCACTGTAGGGCACTTTCCCCTATGTACATACATTTTATTATTATCACAAATGCAGTATTTAGTACTTTTTAGCCCAAGAGCCCACTGCAAATTTTTAACGTCATCTGATAACGAAATGAAATATACCCCAAAAACATGAAAACACTTTGTACTTTACCAAATGGCACCTGTGCCAATCCCAATCCTGAGCAAAGTAGCTTAAAAAATTATTTTATATTAAAAAATCACATAACATTCAAATATACCTTGATATATATCGTAAAAGGGAAACATTTTCTTCCTCTTAACATCGCACAAAAACATCTATCCACTATTAGTAGGTAAAAATTATTAAAAATATGAATCAATTTTTGCTGATTTAAAAATTTATTTGTATGCCTATTGTTGTGATTCATTTTATATTTAACGGCATTTAAAAATATTTTCTTCTTTACTTCTGTCATTATTTAAACGGATCTTTAAAATACATTAGAGGATTATCTTAAAGAAATCTGTTTAAATAATGACAGAAGTAAATTAACGAATACAAATATACTTTTAAAGGCCGCCAATATTTTTAAAGGCCGTCAATATTTTTAAAGGCCGTTAAATATAAAGGAATTGTTACAGAATAGACCCCTATCTCTGCAAATGGTTTATACAATGCCATGCT